CAGGCTGAATTTAGAAGAGGCTGTGACACTAGAGATATTATAGCTAATGTCAGATGGCTCTTGGTTGAAAGCAAAGAGTACCAGAGGAATGTCTATCTGTTTTTCATTGACCATGCAAAAACATTTGACTGTGTGGATCACAAGAAACTGTGGCTGATTCTGAAAAGAATGGGAATCCCAGAACACTTGATTGTGTTTATGTGAAACTTATACTTGGGCCTGGAGGCAGTCATCAGAAGAAAGCAAGGAAAGACTGCATGGTTCAAAACACACCCTTTATGTTTTAAATTTATGCTTGAATGTTTTCCTTACTTTGATTAAACTTAAAGCCCATTTTAATTACTTGTGTAAACTAATAATGAAAATAACTAAAGGCCTATAATTTGAAAAATGAAAAAAAATCAAGTTATCTTGGAAGTGGGTTCTGATGAGCATCTTTGCATTGGGGAAATCTGCTGTCAGCAACCTCTCCAGAGTACTGAGGAACAACAATGTCAATCTGGAGACTAAGTTGTGCCTGTTCCAGGACACAGTCTTCCCAAGTACTTGCTATACATAAGCAAGCTGGAAAATGACTAGGGACGACAGAAGAAGAATGGATGCCTTTGAGTTGTGGTGCTGGACTGCTGGGAGAACAAGTAGGTTCATCCTAGATAGGCTGAAACCAGGCTGTTCCTTGGAGACAAGAATTTGAAGCTTCATCTGACATACTTTGGGCATATTGCAAGTAGGGACCTGTCCCTGGAAGGGACAGCACAAGAGAGGAAGACCCTCAATGGGATGGATTGATTCAGAGACTGGGGTGATGGTGGTAAATGTGTCAGAGGCAGTAAGGTTGGCACAGAGTGGAGCAGAGTTCAGAGCTTTTGTACATAGGGTCTCTGTGAGTTGCAAGTGACTCGACGACACATAAAAACAACAACAACAGAAGCAAAACGGCTTGTTTCCGTTTTTAAAAGATAGATTTTTCCTTTTTTTTTTATTTTTCCTTCTCTCATTTCCTGCTTACCTTCCCTCCCACCCCCAAATGAGAATCTCTTCAATTAAAAATCAAAAGTGGATCCACAATCCCATTCACATACGAATCTTGGAATCATGGGTGGAACCCAATCTTTCCCCTTGAGTAAACACCAATGCCCACTACCACTTATTAAAAGATTCTACTTATTCCCTCATAGCAATCACCTGGACCCACAGGAGTCTAAGTGTGAGGAATACTATAGAGAAACAGGCTGAGCGTGGATATGTCCTTTCATTGTTACCTAGCTAGTCTACTACATTTTGACAGTCTGTTAGATTTTTGACAGATCTACTGGATTTTATAGAGTTGGCACCAAAAACCACATGAACAAAGAAAAACCTGCAGATTCCCCAAAGTACAGTTTGTAATCATGAAAAAGCAAAGATCAAATAGTTCATGAATTTTGACTGGTTGATTTTCTATACATGACTTCATCCTGATGTTATTTGTGGAAGTTGCAGATGGGTTGACAGGGGCCTTATGAGAGGCTTTGGACATCAGGAGTACAGCTTCTCACAGAAGAACCCATACTTAGAAGCATTATCCCTTCCAGACATTTTTAAAGCACTTGTTCCTCACAATTTAATTCACTCTCACAAGAAGAGATAAAATTACTAGTGTAATTGCTTGAGACGATAGAGGCTAAGCATACCCAGGGGGTAGTGGGAGTATGAATGTATATGTGTGTGGGAATGTGTGTGTAATATGTGTATTCATAAATTAAAATTGAACATTTGGTTTTCAATTATAATAACTGTTAATAAAGATGATGCACTCATACACCAAAAAGAGTGATTCAGATAGCTTATTTTTAAGATGCTTCTTATACTTGAGATTCTAGATCTTCTAATGGTTCTGGTTTATGTTTCAGCACGTGAATATTTTGACCAATGTTAAGGATCTCATTACATTTTCACTTAACCAAAGTCTCACTTCAAATATTTCTTATTTGTGTCTAAACATTCATTGTTATTATCATTTTTTAATATGTGTAATCATTTTAAAGCCTTTTAAAAATAACTCTTTCATTGGCAATCTTTCTGAAGTATTGGCATCATGCCTCACTGTATTGAAGAAATATCCATGCCAAATACCAAAACATGACATGGATTTTTCACTTGATCTGCAGATTGGCATTAGGGAGGAAAATTTTGGTGTACTTTTATGTTAACTAAATGCCATATCTACTTCAATTTTCTAATATGCTACTGTAATTGACTTTAAGAATACAGTCATTTGTGTAGAAGAATAGTCTCTAAAATACTAAGAATTATTTTAATACTTAAATGAGCACAAAACACAAATGCCTGTTGTTATTTCTGTTGAGTTGGAACCAACTCATAACTGACACCCCGGTGGGTTTTCTGAGACGGTAAATCATACAGAGGGGAGATTGCTCACCTTTCTCTGATGGAGAAATTGATGGATTTGGACCACATGCTGTTGGACTGATGGTTCACCTTCTCACACCACGAGGCCACCACAATGAAACAAAAAATGCCTACTTTTGTGCAACTGACCTTTCCTTGTAAACTCCAAAGGTTTTCCTCATTGAGTCCAAAAAAGCAAGTTGGAAATATATCTAGGTTACAATTTTGTCTTTTCCCCATTATTGAAACACAAAGTCAATTTTGGATGTTTCTGTAGTTGAGGGCTTTGTAGTAACCAGTGGCTTGTAATGCTTGAGTGATTTGGGGTAGGAAGCTATCTTTATAATCTTTGATGTCTTTTGAAAGGACATTCAAGATAATTTTAAAATCATTAGTTTCTTTACTAATTTCCCTACTGGCAACTCTAACGGATCAACAGAGTGAAAAAATCTTGATTATCCAAATCCTAAGTAAGGGATCATGGTAATGAGTGGAAGGTTTTCTAGTGTATTAGCTAAGTACTACTTTAGTTATCGAATATGCTAGGGAGTCTGCACTTTGGCTTACAGAATGAAACACAGAGTCTAGAATGGAGAAATGTGGTGAGAAAAGGCATGCCATCCTTTATAAGTTTCTGTATTAATTCTTTGTCAATCCAGACTGCGGTGCAGCTGCCAAGAGAGTGGAGGCACCAGGAAGCCTCACAGCAGGGCAATTTCCCAGAACAAGGGAGGCAGAGCTGTGTCCTCTGCACTGTCAGCCCCAGCCTGACACATTGGGTTCAGTTTGGGGTTCTCTACTTAGTTGCATGAAATTTTAAGTGTTTAAAATTGGAACTCATTCAAAGGAGAGTGGTCAGGATGGAGAGAAAACTTGAGACCATGTTTATATGAGGAAGAGCTGGAGGAACTGGAGATGTTTATTCTGGAAAAGAGGGTACAGAATTGCTGTCTTTACAGATATAGTGGGTTGTCATGGAGATGAGAGGTCAGATTTATTCTGCATGGCTCTGGAGGGTAGAATGAGGGTCAATGGGGTAGATGCTGGCTCAGTTAAGAAATATCTTTGTGCTGGTTCCACATGTCCTTAAAAGGCGTGAACTTCATTTTAAAAAAAAAAAGACAATTGTAGGTATTGTAGATATCTGTGCCTAGGCAGACGGCTGGTGTCATGTAAAGGATCTTAGGAAACTCCAGAGCAGTCAGGAGAATCCTTTCAACTTGAGATCGTAGTCTATAACTTTCTTTTCCCAAAACATGCCTGTTTACCAAGCACAGTGCTGGGGTGTGAAGGACCCAGGAACTCTTGTGGAGAAGCCAGACATACAAATAGAGACTCCAGCATAGACTGAGAAGTAGAGTGCACCAAGTAGAAGAGCCCTGGAGAGGACCCAGGAGCGCGATTCTGGGAATGACAATGCCTGCGTTAGGTTGGTCTATTCTGCAATGGCCCTCGAGCACAAAGTCTGTTAGTGTCTTCCTTTACAGTTTCACTCTGTTTTTCATCATACTGTGGTCCAGGTGTAACCAGTCTCTGGGTTTAGCTGGAATCACACTGATGCTAGCATTCTAAATTCCACTGATGTTTTTGCATTGTGCTGTCATACAGCCTTCAGACTCCCAGCCACAGAGCTTTCAAGCTCCTATAAAAATCTTACCCAGTATCTGTGCAGCCCTGTAAGAGACCTAAAGAGAACTCCTAAGCTGACCCATCTTGTTCTCTCTACTCTCCCTTTCCTGTTGAGTTCCTGGTGTTGATAATGACCTGTCGACACCTGAAGCCTGCGAGGTGCCAGCTCCCATGCCAGCCCTGCTGGGATTGTTGCCCATCCTGACGATGCTGAAATCCTCACTGAACATTCCTATTTCCTGACTGGCAGCCTCACTTGTGCCAAACTGCTCTTCTCCATGTCCTCTTTCATCCTGGCTGTGCCGTTCCTGACAAAGGTGAAGGGAATGAATAGCCAGCTCTCTCACTTTGTGTCCCTTTTTGTCACCTGGATCATGAGGAGAGGCTAGGGACAACATTGTGTTTCCACAGATCACCCTGGAAGTAAGTTCTTTCAGTTTTTGGCTAAACCTACAAGTAATCTGATTGTGGAGCCTCCAGCTGAACGAGCTATCAGTACTTTGGTCTCCATTCTAGTTTTCCCCTAGTGTGTCTGAAGCTCTTCCTATCCTACCCAGCTCTCCTTTAGTACAAAGACATGGCAAAACAAACTACCGTCTTCATGCTTCACCCGCCCCATCATTAGACATAACCCCACCTGAGATTGCGGTAATTATTAACATTTCTTTTCTAACTGGCACAGGGTGAAAATCTTTTTATATATCTTCTTTAATCACTTGAACACTTGGAAGTATGAATTCTTAGCATTTCATTAGTAGATGAGGATGGGATTTGAAGGGATTAAGTAGCTTGCTCAAAGGTCTAACAACAGAAAACTCTAGAATTAAAAACAGGGCTGGTGTGGTAATGTTCTAGACACCAAGTTCCCAACAGCTCCTCATTTCTTAAGGCCAACATCTGTATACTTTGGTTAACACTAAAGGGCCTGCTCTGAACTTTGTCATCTTGGTCTAAATTAAAAAATTGGCTTTTTCACCCAGGGCTGGGAAGAAACTGTGGATGCTGCTATTTCTCACCTCCTGAAAACCTGCCTGTCGAAGAGTTCAAAGGAGCAGGCGTTGAACCTCAGCAGCCTACTCAGCATCCCCAAAGACACGAGCCGGCTGAAGAAACATATCACCTTGCTCTGCGATAGATTAGCCAAAGGTGGACGCCTCTGCTTAAGTACGGATGCTGCGGTCCCACAGACCATGGTCATGCCGGGTGAGTGCTGCTTTCATGTCCCCAACACAATTGTACTTTTCCCACATTGAAGGAATGTACCTGTGGTTGTGTTTGGGGTTTAAATTTCACTAGTGTGATGACAGCCAAGAAGATTGCTTTCACGTTTCCCCTCAGATATCCCAAGGTAACCACTTAGATAAATATTCCCTGGGTATTTGCTTACTAGACATTTCTTAAATGGCATGTCTTCCCCCCTCCAATCCCCACCTTCCAGCTTTTAAATATATGAATCATTTTGTTTTGTTTCTTGCCAATAAAAAGCAGATTAGAGGCAATATTTTAAGGAAAAGTTCTATTAAATATGATCTCGCAACATCACGTTTCACATGACAGGCCAAAATGTGGTCCAGATGAGTCCCCTTCCTTCTCCTGTTTGCTTGGACCATAGTCATCAGGAAAGGGGTGAAGAGGAGAAGGCTGTGGACCAGGAGACGTGATGTCTGTATGGTCCAGGATGGAGAGAAATCCATGACAGTCAGGGGCCTCCAGGTCAGCCCATCTCAGAGCTGGAGGAGCAGCTATGATGCACAATTGATATATGGGTGACAGGCCCAAACCCTGCTGCCCTCTTCTCAGCCTTTCTCCCTATGGCAGCAGCAGGGACTGTAAAGGAAATGATTGTGTGAAAGGACCCAGCAGCAGCAGCCATGTCTTCCTGAGCCAAAACTCTTAGTGTGGGAAGCAGAGTGGTTGGCTTTTCTTTCTTCTCACGTCCCTTTCCTACACCCCACATGCTGTTCCTCCTGCTGCTGCTTCCTTCACCCCTCCTCCCTCAGCATTCCTAGAAGTAAAAAGGAAAGCAAGTGAAATCCTGAAAAGATAAACACAAAGAAGGGGTAGCATATTGCTGGAGTCACTCAGTCAGACCAAGCTTCTGTGGCTCACTCACGTGACCCTGGGTGTGTTCCTTAGCTTTCCACAGATTTTGTTTCTTCTTTTACAGAGGGAGTTGGAGAATGCCTATTTGTTTGCTAGGTTTGCTGCTACTTGGAAAGGACCTAGCCCAACACTTGAAACAGAGATCCTTTCAAATATTTACACTGTTATTACCATAGTTATGGGTCTATGTAAATAGAATTCAGCCTCTAAATTTAGAGGTAGGAAAGTAGTTGGTTTAGAAGCCAAGGGACTCGATATTATTATTTGAAATATCTCTTTACAGTAATTATACACACATAGAAGTTATTTGTTATCCTGAAAGAATATTTCTAATTTGACATTTTGCAATAGAAGTGAATTAGACCTGGTTTAACATTATTTAGACCTTCATCTCACCCTTGTAATGTTCTCCTAACTGTACCGATAGTGTCCACACATTCCTCTTCTGTCTTCTTCTTTGAGATAAGTATTTGGAATTAATAAGGGAGTACATGAAAACGTACTTATTATAATTGGCACCCAGCACATGGTGTTCCCTCAGGCCTGCCAATAGAAAAGATAATGGCTATGTGAAGAATGAGAACAAATATACAAAAGAGGATGTATGAAAACAGGTGGCATTGGCTTGTCAATTGGAAGGTAAATCTTTTAATTCAGGCTGCAACAGCCTTGGATTCTTGGATTCAGGCTCCTGCGTGGGCCTCTTTGACTACAACCATTGGCAGTCCAGTGGCAAGACACACAGAGGGAACAGATACTCTGTTAGTCATTCCTGCTATGTGTTGTTTTTATTGTTGTTGTTATGTGCCACCGAGTCTCCTGTGACTCATAGAGACCCTATGTACAACTCTCTCAACCCTGCTCTATCCTGTGCCAACCTTACTGTCTCTGACACACCTACTTCCATTACCCCAGTCACTGAGTCAATCCATCCCATCGAGGGTCTTCCTCTCTTGTGCTGTCCCTCCACCCTCGCAAGCATGATGTCCCTCTACAAGGACTGGTCCTTCCTTGCAACATGGCCAAAGTATGTCATATGGCTTCAAAATCCTTGCCTCCAAGGAGTGGCCTGGTTTCACCCTCTTTAGGATGAACCTGTTTGTTCTCCTAACAGTCTATGTTATATTCAATATTCTTCTCCAGCACCACAGTTCTCTTCTATCATCCCTAGTCATTGCCTAGCTTTCTGATGCATAGTTTGTAATTGCAAAGACCATGGCCTGGATCAGGCGTGCCTTAGTCTCCAGACTGATATTGCTGCTCTTCAGTATGCTAGAGATGCCCCTGACAGCAGACAAATCACTATCTTTATAAGTAAATTGAGCCTATGTCAATCTCTCAGATATAAAACAGGTTAGCCTTCAAAGCAGATTTTTTGTTAGTATGTGTAAGGGGAATGGGGAAGGACCATTGGTGGCTTAGTGGTAAGGAGTTGTACTGCCAAACCTAAGGCACAAGGTTCAAATCCACCAGCTGCTCTGGGAAGGTGGTCAATCTCCTCTCATGTGATTTACTACCTCTGAAAACCCTCTGGAGGTTGAGCTATGGCTTAGTTCTGTTTCAGTGGTACTTAATAACAAAAGGGGGATGAATGCAATTACAAAATTATGTTTTTCTTTATCTCCTAAAAAGAATCCCAAATAATTAACAATATCCCTTTTATTTATTTTTATGACAATTCTATATTATTAAGTAATGTTCTTTTGTCTGGAATGGTTTTTGTGTAACTTTATTTTCCTGTTTCTTTTTTAACCACTACCTTAGCTTTAACTTTCTTATTTAATAAAAACCAAAAAAGTAGTTTTAAAAAAACAATAAAGGGAAGGGGAGGAAAGAAGGAAGAAAAATATGTTCACAAACCAGGAGTCTACCAACCGGGGCTATGCCTCGGTTTTCATGACGTCAGAGTTCATGCCACATAGATCCACAGAGATCTGGAGACATCTCCGTGGAGGTCGCGGCTCTGGGTGGTTGTGTCTCACTCTCAGTCCTCACTCCTTGCTTTTTACTCACTGACTCAGTTACCGAGTGACTTTCTCTCTTTCCCTCATCTGATCATGATAGCAAAAAAAAATGGCTAATTATATTCATTTGTTGCTGCAGAGGCTAGGCCTAGAGTCCAAATCTCCTGGGCCACTCCACTTCCCTCTGTGCCATCTAGACCACAATGGTCCGCACATGTATCTAGCTCGATGCTCTTCCTGTGGCAGTCAGCCTCCACCTGGCCTTTTCATTGAGAATGGCCTAGTAGTAGAGGAAAAAAGAGTAGAAATAGCTCTATACAGTCACTCCTCTTTGCCATAAGGAACATCTTAAACACTTATTCCCTAATTTTTTCTTTTTTTGGTGGGGGCATAGATAGCAAGTTTATTTGGTGAGTGCTGCTGGCAAGCATTATCCAAGAGATATGAGATGGGAAATATTCTGTGATAGCCGAGGAGGCTTTCAGGGCTACATGTGGTCTCACATAGGAAAAGGCACAGGGCTCTGGGGACACAGGAAGAGCTGCCATCAGCAAGGACGACTCTTCATAGTTAATACAACCATTGCTGTCCTCATGCCCTGCCACCAGCATCTCTACTTCTTCCTCTGTCATCTTCTCACCCAGTGTCACAAGGACATGCTAGACTTCAGTGCCCATGAGTGTCATACCCTTCCTTGTCAAACCCCTGAAGGCCTTTAACATAGTCTTCTTGGGTGCCCTGGTCCTTGTTCTCAGCCATGGTCTGCAGCATGGGCAGGACGTGTTCCAAATCCAGGACCATCACATTCTTTTCACGACTCATAGGGTTTCCCAGGACCTTGAGCACCTCGGCATTGGTGGGGTTCTGGCCCAGGGCCCTCATTATGTCCCCATACTGGCTGTAGAGGATCTTTCCATCACCTGTTCAGTCAGACAGCTGGAAGGCGTCCTTAAACTCTGCCGTCTGATTCTTGGTAAAGTCACACACATCTTAGTGGTCAGGTATTGGTACTTAATTCTTACATCAGTATTGGTGAATAATAGTATTGTCACAGAGATAATGGAAAATATTGTGAGTTATTTCTTCTTTGGATGAGTAATTATACAATTTGTATTAGTTTAGCTTTAATAGTTGACTCAGAAAATGTAGGGGTAAAAGGACAGATGAGAGCGGAGGAGATTTCAGGAAATAGAGACAGAGAAGCATTTTTAAGAAACATTATCTTCTTCAAAGAACTGGATGGGAATTTAGAAATCATCTTACTCACTTTTCTTATATAACAGCTGAGGTAACTAAGGCCTGGGAAGGCGAAGTGACTTAGTCGGTATTAACAAGCAAGAGTATGTGTCATTTTACCATTTTCCTTATTAAATTGCAGATGAATAAACATCTCAGAATAAAAACCCCCTTGGTCTTTTCTAGCCTGGTGACTTTATGAGCCCAAAACTTTGGATATACCTCTTTTTTTTTTTTCTCCTGAAAGACTATGATGACAGCTTCCTCTCTGGTGTCCAGAGTCTGAAAGATTTTCCCACTGGAAATTACCTGATGGACTTATTTGTCTAACATTTCCCCTTTTTACCTTCCTCAGCATTCAGATTCTTCGGGTCACTTTACCTTCCTCTAGAATTATTTTTATTTCAGAGTTGTCATAATTGCATTTCTTCTTGTCTGTGGCTCTAGATTTACATCTTTCTGCCAGGGAATATTGCTTGTAAAGGATTTGCTTTCATTGGTGAGCTTTTCTCTGAAAGTTGATTCCTGAAAGTGTTTGCTTTCTTGTGTGACTGTTACCTGCTTTATCTTCAGTGATACTTTGACCTGAGGGACTTGCCTTAGAGTGCTGGGTTTCCCTTTTGTGACTTTTGTATTTAAGACAGCATATCTCCTCCCATAGAGATTTACAGCATCATAAACCTCCTGGCAGGTCTCTATGAGTTGTACATGCTGCAAAGGCATTGATTCATCTTTGGTTTTCCTTATTTGTTGTCAATTTTCAGACGCTTCTGAAGCAATTGAAAATGTTCTGGGTTGGGGTCAGGTACACCATAGTCCTTATAGTGACATCTTTGCTCTTTAGTGTATTAAGGGAGCCCAAGAGAACAAATTGTCTGTTTTCTTGACTGTTGTTTCCAT